GTCAAAGTACTGCTGAAGGATCGTCAAGAGCTATTAAATTGAAAATTTGGGGAATCTGGTTAGGCATAATTTTTTGCAATGCACCCGAGAATTAGAGACTGTGAGGTATACGGCTTGTTCAGGGAAAATCCTCCAATGGGTCGACATCTTCACGCTTGGTTGCTAGTTCTGTGCGCATCGTCACTTACTGTATGTGTCGAAAGACGGCAAAGAAAACACAGCAGTTTTACTGAAAAAAGGGTGTTTACAGCTCCCTTTTTGGAGCACGAGATCCCCAATTTTACAGCAAAAGTCAAGCCACTCATTGTTGTCTCTCCTAAGAGCACAGCTACGAGGCTTCCATCAGTCAAACCACACGCTCGCGTGTGATAATTGGAAATGACCTGCCGGGCTCTCCTTTTGGATGCATTGTGTTATGGCAAAACACTCACTGGAGGCCTGGTACCTCTGAGGAAAGCAGTAACAATTAGCATTTTAAAACGTGATTCGTGTTAAAAACTCGACACTGGCGAATAGTGTGATAGATAGCGTGCTAAAGACGGTCCGAATTTTCCAGAAAACATGCAAACAGGTAGCTGCAGCTTTGTATACAGAACGATATTGACGATGGCCTAAAACAAGGTATAAAAGGTGCAGGCAAGTCCTCGAGTCGAAGGGGAGTTTAGCAAGGGTTGAGATGCTATGTGAAACGTAGGAGACCTCATCTATCAATAGCAAAGTCATGACGACAAATTTGATTTTAAAAAGAGATCATGACATACTAGCGATGTTTATAGTATCTATTTCCAGCCGCCAACTAGACATCAACAATACATAGATTTCAGTAAACAAAAGTATTTATGAACATTGCTGGGAATAGACAAGTCACGTTAACTGGAAAAAGTTGATAAAATTCGAGCAAACTCGAAGGGCGACAAAGTCAGATATTTTTGGAATCGATAGTTAGAAACTGTTGTGGCATTTTCGATAGCACTGTTCCCTTTATAAGCGAACATCGGAACTGCAACCTTACGAATAGCAAAGATTGTGGCACACCTACGTAAACAAACAAGGTGTTCAATTAACGGAAATTGCACGACAGAGCCCTTAACCTTCAGAGTGCTGGCCACCCTAACATCGACTTAAACGAAGTTTATCACGATTGAAAATCACTATGACGTGAGAAAAAATAACTGAGCATAGAGAGATCCTTTGTTTTGCAGAGCAAAGTAAGGCGCAGTGGAAGGAATGTTCTGACCGCTTTTCTTTAATCAACAAAATCGCTGGCCAAAAAGGTGCTTGTTTGGCCACCGTTAACTGAGTACTTACCAGTACCAGGATGTTTTCCAGCCAAGAGTCAACCAGTTCAAGAACGCCTTCACTGGAAATTGTCAAGTTACCAGACTTGGCACTGCTGTCTTCCTGCAACTGGCTGGCCGTCAGAAGAACACTGAACAGACTCTTGCAGCGAGTAAGAGACCACAACAAAGCTGAATAAAGTGGTTCCTTCGGTTGGGAAGGCGAGTCTATTGAGGAAACGTCTGTTGAGCAGTCGGAGATTCCACGGAAAGCGACCTACAATCAGTAAGTGATATACTTTTATTGGGCCAAAAAAAGAAAATGGTCAGCAAAACATCTTCCTAATCTTACGGGCAAAGAGTAGAAGATAAAATAAATATTGATTTAAAATAATCTTATGGCTGTGCCTAGGCGACTCTACTTTCTGTATACCAGTCTTCAAACAGGTCAAAATTTGTGTCAACAATTTAAGAGTAGATTTTTACAGGAGCACAAATAACTGGAAAGTAAAATATTTCGAGGTCCCAACACGTAGTTATTTTTGCAGCATAAATACGTACTAATGCGGATCGGAAATCCTTCTCATAATGCAGCGACGTCTTTTGGTATGAGACGGTTTCCGTAGATTCCAATCGGAAAGGTACTTAGTCGCTTATCATGCATGCTTTTTTGCACCCTAAATCATCAATAATAATAAAGTATCTATCTCGAACTAATACTTTTCAAAAAAAATTTCCAAGAAGGCCAGTCATTTATTCTGTGACGCAACGGTAATAAGGATAACAAATATTACCTTGGTCCAACGTTGTAGAACACGGGAGTCCACAAGTTTGGAGCACAAAGACAATATGTCGGCCGATAGTGGCTGCCCGCACCTGGAAAGGAAGGGGAAGCAAAGGAAAGGCCGATCAGTTATGGGGTGATTCTCGCAATGACAGAATATAGGAAACTTGGGTGAAATTTCACTTTAAAACTTAAGTGTAAACCAGTAAGTGAAGTGTGATTTTTTTCCTCTATTGCATACGCACAAAATAAACCAACCACGATTTGCCGCTATCAATTGCTAAGCGGACTGAGAGCAAGCAAACCTTACCAACGTTAAAGAGAACCTAAATGAAGAAAACGCAATATCTTAAGCATAACTATTACGGGCACGGAAGTTATATGCTTTTTCACACCTATCATAGTGGGCTACGTATGTTATGTAAAACTACAGGAAATCGCCAAATTTACATCCCTAAGAAGGAATTACGTAGGCGTCCTTGTAATACTCTTTAAGATGCAGCATAATTCTAAGATATTTCAGTAACATCAGGATGCAAGATTTTGAATGCACGTCAGTCTGATCACCAGTAAAATTTTACTCACTAAAATGGCTATTCAAGAAGTATTAACTTTTCATGACCTTATAAATCTAAACATATTTAAAGTGTGCACAAAATATTCCTTCTTGTAGTAAAATTACGTACTCCATTTGTTTACCCGACGAAACGTTACTGTTCAGTTTAAAAAACACATGTGTCCCCTCGCGGCTAAATGTAACCCAATCTGCATTCGCACGCGGCATTTAGGGTTTTCAATTTACAAACCGTACATATTTTGTTTCAGAAAAAACACATTCCTCTAAGCTATTAAGGAAACACTATATACGGTTCAGCAGACGTTGAAATAGGTATGGAGCAAGGTGCACGCTCCATAAGAAATACCAGCCAGCGAACAGATACGCACGCGTTTGAAAAAGCATTTTAAAATACTTAAAATTTCATAGAAACAAACGCCTTTTACAAATAAAACCGCACTTACTTCAAGTATAACGTTAAAATATGACCCAATTTACTACGAAATGAGCCCAAGAAAGCATTATGTGTGTGTTCTCTACGGAATATCCCCAGATTTACAGGAAGATAGAAAGTCAATGGAAGAATAACATACTCAAGTACCTATTTTTAAAGAGGGTGGTTTCACGGGAGTCTGCAATGATGTGTATTCAGAAGCTGGTGCCCTAACATGACAAAAATACCTTAGAATTGGTAGCCACTAATGCAATCCCACTTAAGTAATCCTATATGAACCAGGTTCTACCTCAGAATTTCGGATTACGTTCTATGAGTCACACCCCCTTCTAGCAAGATCACTCAGGGATAGTTAAAAAGGCCTTCAAATCGGACGCACTTGATGTATTCGTAGACCTCGACGGAGAGAATAGCAGGCAGGTATCCAGTAACTTCGAGTTCAATGGTGGAGAGACTCCCCTGCAGAATACAATAGATAATAAGAGTAATCGCATCAAAAATACACGCGAAATCATCTAAATTGTGTAATCGCGTTCTGAAGCAAAGCGAAAAATATTGCTGAAGGTAGTATATCCAGGTTACTCACCTCTTGCGACTCCAGCGTCGAAAGGAGTTTGAGGAAGGGTCCGGATATGGAGCTCCACAGCTTTCCCCTAAAAGGTACAAGGCTCCATATGTAAGGCAAGTTCGATGTGTTTCATCTTCTTTTGCCATTTTCAACTTCATTTAAATTTAAAGACTCAGTTAGGAGTTTTAAGGTCCGAGCCGTTACTTGCCATCCGCTTAAGTTAAGTTCGAGGAGAGTTGTGATTTGTACAGAAAGGAACGCCATGAAATAGCCGCCAGTAATGAGGGCTACGAGCTTGTGACGTGTAAGGCGGTGGTTGGAGGTTGATTCCGCCGACCATCGGAAGTCGGCCTCACTGAGGCTTACCTCGGTTCAAGTTTACACGACTATAAAACAGTCTTTTTAAAATATTTTTTGTAGCATACAAACCGAATACCTTATCGCAAGGCTGTAAAACTCAGTTGAATGTGTGCGGCCACAAAAACTATCCATTAAATATTTTGAAGTAGCTTCGAAATGGCCAAGTGGAAAATAGTCCAAAGGTTCAGTTCCTGAGACTTGAGATAAAATCGTAATGGGGGAAAGTACAGAGTAAAGACAGTTTTCAAAATTTTTATAAGTCTACATCTGAGCACATCCAAGGGGAATCCCCTCATTTGTGGTGGACAGCCAACAATGCTGCCCCCTCCCTGCCCGCTTCTTCAACATCAAGCATCTTTGCAGGCAGCTGTTTTCTGGCTCGTTGACCTGCATCCCTGCCAGGTATTCGCGGCCGCCAAAGAGCCATCTGAGCACGCCGCCCCTCGGCCAACGCAACAAACGCCACTATGCGCAGAACCCCCCCCCCTGG